TTCTTAGAGGGAATGCTTTCAATTTTCTCCATTTAGAATGATATTGGCCTTGGATTTAGCATATATAGCTTTTACAATGTTGAGGTATGTTCCTACTATCCCTAGTTGTTCTAATATTTTGAATATGAAATGGTGCTGTATTTTGTCAAATGCTTTTTCTGCATCTGTTGAGGTGATCATATGATTCTGTCTTTAAGTCTATTAATATGATGAATTATGTTTATTGTTTTCTTTCCTTGATTTATCTTAGTCTGGTTTTGGCATCAGGGTGATACTACTCTCATAGAATGATTTAGAAGGGTTTCTTCCTTTTCTATTTCATGGAATACTTTGAGGAGTATTGGTGTTAGTTCTTCTTTGAAGGTCTTGTAGAACTTGGATGAGAATCTGTCTGGTCCTGGGCTTTTCTTTACTGGTAGGATTTTGATGGTGTCTTGTATTTCATTGCTTGAAATTGATTGTTTCAATTGTGTGTGTCCTCCTGACTCAGTTTGAGTAGGTCATATGTTTCTAGAAATTCATCAATATCTCCCAGGTTTTCTATTTTATTGGAGCATAAATTATAAATAGTTTCTAATTATCTTCTGAATTTCAGGACTATTCATTGTGATATTTCCTTTTTCATCACGAATTTTAGTAAATTGAGTTTTTGCCTAGGGGTTTATCAATATTTTGCTGAGAATGTTCTATAGTGAAGGCTTTCTAGTTGTGAATCCTTTTAACTTGTTTATCATGGAAGGTTTTTATTTCATCTTCAAATCTGAAGCTTAATTTTGCTGGGTATAGAATTCTTGGTTGGCATCCATTTTCTTTCAGAGTTTGCAATATATTATTCCAAGATATCCTTGATTTGAGGATCTGGGTTGAGAAATCATCAGAGATCTGAATTGGTTTCCCCTTAAATATAATCTGACATTTTTCTCTGGCAGCCTTTAAAATTCTATTCTTATTCTGTATGTTTAGGCATTTTTTTAAAATAATGTGACTTGGTGTGAGTCTGTTGAAATTTTGTACATTTGGGATCCTGTAAGTCTCCTGTATTTGATTTTCCACTTCATTCTTCATGGTAAATTTTCTATTATTATATCATTTAAAAGATTATGCATTCCTTTGGCTTATATCTCTGCACCTTCACCTATCCCGATAAATCTTAAATTTGGTCTTTTCATATTCATGTTCATGTTCATGTTATCTTAACATATTCTATCCATGGTCAACTTTATTTTCAAGATTATATATTTTGTCTTCATTGTCTGAAGTTCTGTCTTCCAAGTGGACTAGTCTGTTGGTGATGCTTTCCATTGAATTTTAAATTTGGTTTATTAATTTCTTCATTTTGAGGATTTCTGTTTGATTTCTTTTCATAATCTCTATTTCTTTATTGAAGTGATCTTTCATCTCCTGAGTTTTATCTGATTTCACTCCTTAAATCATCCTTTACCTTGTAGATCAGTTTAACTATATATTTTATAAACACCTTTTTTGACATTCCTTCCACTGTGGTGTCAATGGATTCTATTATTGGAACATCTTGGTTTGTTTGGGATAATTTTTTCCCTTATTTTTTCATACTGTTTTTGTGTCTACCCATCTGTCACTGTGGATCTGAGGCAGTACAGTTTCTGTCCTGTAGATTTATAGTGTCCTTGAAGGTTTACAGTACCTTGCCTTTAAGGGGAGACAAATAATAACACCAACCAATGCAAACAATATTTAGCCTTAAACTAAATAGCTCCTATTAAGATGTCTACAGTTTTGACACAATAAACAAAAATTATGTGTTCAGCTATTGCCTATAATAAAAATGGCAAGTTTGCAAAAGTGTTTACAATTTCAAGTGGTGAACAAAGAGAGAACAGAAGTGGTGCAGGTTGTGATGTTCATGAGAAAAGGAGAAGATAGAAGTAAAAAATCATAGAAAGAGTGAAAGAGGGAATTATAGAAGCTGGCTGTTAGAAGGGAAAAAGAGAGAAATAGAATCAAGGGAAATAGATAATTGAGAGGAGAATATATATATATATATATATATATATATATATATATATTCTTTCAATTATCTGTTATATATTATATATATATTTAAATTATATATATATATATATAATTTAAAAATTAAAATAGAAAGAAGAAAGTGTAAATAAAATAATAAAAAACAAAACTGAAATATATTATTCAGATATCCCAGTACTCAAATAAACTGATGTATGGAAAATAATTGGTTTCAAAAATGATAGAAATGTGAGAAAAAAAGAAAAAGAAAAGGGGAAAAAAGGATCTCAGTGAAAAATTGAACAATTGTTTCTGCTGGAGTTCAAAAATTTCTCAGCTTTCCTTCTCAGCAGTTATTTGGAGTTTGATGCTTACTCCTACCCTCAAACTCCTGGAGTTCTGGTGTAGGCTTGGTATGCTCCAACTTCTTTGCTGAATGTCAGTTGGTCTGGATGTTTTAAGTCAGCATACCTCCATGGACCAGTAAGGTGCATGCCGGAACACTTCACCCCAGGAATCTCCTTTTGGGTTCACTCATGTGGTGTAGGAACCTGTTCTTAGCCCACTAAATCACTTGCAGACCCCACAATTCCTGTTTCTTTGATTCAGTCTCCAAATTCAATCTCTCCTGCCCCTGTGCTTCTCTCTCAGCTGGTCCTGAGGGCTGGGGCTGAGCCTGCAGGCCAGTCCTGAAGCTCTGTGCTGGACCAGGTAAGTCTGGTGGCTAAGCAGCATGTGGGGTGTTGAAGCCCAACCATGTCAGGGGCCCAGCTGTTCTCTGTTGGATGGGTCAGGGCCACGCACCAGGATTCAAAACTGCAAACAATGGGTCAGGTTGGGAGCCACAGAGGGGTTGGGGGACTGGGGAGTCAGAGGACTCTGTTGGATGCTGGACTCATGCTGGACCTAGCAGGACCTGGGACCAGGGGATTCTGGGGAGGGAGTCAGAGACCAGGCTGGTGCCATTGCTGGCCTGGGTGGGCCACAGGGATCAATGGGTGCCAGACCAGCTGGCTAGGGAGCTGAGAACAAAATGCCCTCACACCCTTTTCCAACCTTCCAACTCTGGGACCCGCTGTTCCATCAGTCCCTGTGAGCCTCAGGATTCACAGGGCTGGGGAGACCCCAACTCTTTCCAGCCTCTCTAACCTGTGTTCATCCAGGCAAGATTCTCCCAGTTTCTAATGTTCCACAGCAACCTAGCTGCAAACTGGGATCTGGGTTTTCAGATTCTGTAGGCTCTGCCATGCTGTAGTCCCATGGCTCCTGGATGGGCTCTCAGAGGACAACTGATAGACTTCAGTGAAAAGGTTTTAATTATATCAGATTAATGAGTCAAATAGTCTCTAGTTGGGCTAGGGCAGACTGCCCCTCCAGGTTTTTCAATCTAAGCTCCAGGGGGTTGTGGTATTCCCACTGTTTGAGTTCTGCGTAGCCAAGCCAAGGGAAATGCTGCCTCATGCTAATCCGCCATCTTTGAGCCCCACTTTATGCTGCCTTTTAACAGTATTATTGCCTACCCAAATCTAGTATGATTGTCTCTTAGCTACTTATATTTGCCAAGACTTTTTCCAATAGAGTCACATTCTGAAGTTCTGAGTTGGCATGAATTTGCAGGGTACCTACCTCAGGACATACAGGTTTCTCGTTGTTACATCTTCTTAATAGTTTCACTCTTTTTTTTTTATTACATAACAGCCTTTTTGTCTTCAGTAGCCTGTATTTTTCATAAAGTCTATTTTTTCTTGTTAACATAATTTCTCTAGCTCTCTTTGGGTTAAATGTTTGTATGATACAACATTTTTTCATCTTTTAAACTTTCAGTCTAGCCTGGCACAGTAGCATTTACCTGTAATCCCAATGATTTGGAAGTCTGAGGCAGGAGCATTACAAATTTGAGGCCAGTCTTGGCAACTTGGTAAAGTCTTAAGCAACTTAGTGAGAACCTATCATAATTTTTTTAAAAAAGGTCTAAGGATATAACTCAGTGGTTAAGCACCCCAAGATTCAATGCTTAGTACCAAACACAAAAAAAAAAAAAAACAATAAATTAGAGTGGGAGAGAATTACAAAAATACATTTATTCTGTTTTTTTTATATTTGCCTATGTAGTTACTTTTATTGGTGTTCTTATTTTTTCCTCATGGATTAAAATGACTGTCTAGTATTCTTCACGATGAAGTGAATGACTCACTTTACTAGATTTAAATTTTTTTTTAGTTGTTCATGGACATAATTCCTTTATTATACTTATTTATTTTTTAATGTGGTGCTGAGGATTGAACCCAGTGCCTCACACATGCTAGGCAAGCACTGTACAAGTGAAGGTCTGAGGTAAGCTACAACCTCAGACCTTCACTTTACTAATTATTGTAGGGCAAGTTTGCCTATGATTTTCTCAGGTTTTATGTACCTGCATATACATAGTAAGATAGCAAGGGCAAGAATAAACTTTAAGTTGATTAAATAAGCAACTTAGAAACATGGATGGGCTATCCACAGGAAGAACTGGTCCATATTTCAAGTGTGAAATTTTTTAATGGTGAGCAACTTTCACTCTAAATAAAAGAGGATTGGTATCATTCATGAGAAAAATCAAAGAATAATATAAATTTTACAAGTACAATACTACCTTTCTGTTTATTCATTGATATAGTCCTAGTGCCCAGCATACTACTTGGCATGTGGTAGATGAATAAATGAATAAAGAATACTAGAGAAGACCAGTGTTGCTGGGAGATTGAAAAAAAAAAAAAGATTTCTGAGGGTTAGCTTTAATGTTCATGAATTCTGATAGGATGATACACTGGTAAATTAATAGCACAATGTTTAAAATGTACAATTCTATCCAGTGGTTACTGCATTGATAGGTTTTTAGTCCTATGTAACCCATAAATCTTTAGAGATATTTTTGTATAATTTATTTGATTAAATGTTTCTCACTTTGCAAATCTCAATGTGTGCTTCTGTTTGGGTAAAAAGATGTTAACTACTGTCGATTTTCATGACAGAATGGGCGCTTAAAGGAGGAACAGAACTGGCACATAAAGAACCTACTAAAGGAACTGAGTGAGGATAAGTCAGATGGATTACCAGTTGTAACGAGAGAGGATGTTGAAGAAGCAATGAAAGAAAAATGGAAGTTTGAAAGAGACCAGGAAAAAAACTTGAGAGGTGATTTAAGAACTTAAGAGAATTTTCATGGAAGTGTTAGTTATTTCTTGAATGTACTAATGCTTTTGTCTTTCAATATATTCAAAAGAATATATTTCACATGACATCATTCCCACCACAACCACAAACACATGGAGGTAAATGAGCAGGCGAGGGAAATAACAAAGTAGGCAGAGGTACTGAAGCCAAGTGAGGAGGAAGAATAAGGGCAGTGATCAAAAATGAAGATGGATGAAATCTGACTCTTAGCACTGAACAGCATCTGTGAGAGACCACTCTGAATTTCTTCTCACAGTGTGGATTTTTTCTTTCTTTTGTGACATTCTGTTGTTTGGTGAGTTCGTTGGCTTTAGATTGGTAATGATAAGATGAATATAACAAAGGAATACCCACTCCCAATGTCTCTAATGAAGATAAGTCCCACATTCAGATGGGGGATAGAGGCATTAGACTTAGAAAAGGGGAAGTTTGGAGGACATGGATAGAAATGATGCTAGGAGTGGGAGATCAAACACCTAAGACATATTGACCTAGAAAACCATGGTCCTGGGGTAAGCTGGACATGTACAGTTTTAAAGCATGCATTTTCTTTATTCCTAGTCCTTCATCCTAAACTTGTAGCTGAGATTTCTAAAATCACTTTTGTCAAAAACTCCATAAATATTATGTCTGCTAGGAAGCTAAAAAATATGGAAAGAAACTTATGCACTCACTATCAGAAATATCTAAAGTTGGGAGGCACAACAAGGGACTAGATCTTCCTGGATTTCTCTAGGTTTTTCAGAACACCTACTTAACCAAGCACATTGCATAAAGCAGTCACACCACTCTAGATATTTGTTGTTTGGAGTGAAATAACCTCCAAAGCCAAACATGAAGAAGTAAGCTCTATTTTTAGAGGTCAAAACTGTTCCATAAAACTCTCCCTTCCCAAGTCTCTTTATGGGCAGTAGGGAGGCTATGAGGTGGTAGATAGGGTATTTTGTAAGACTTATCTCCAAAAGAGGTCTGCATGTGTTTGAAAGTAATGCCTTAATATGTCCCTTGAGTTGGGATTGAGACCTCCCAAAGGACGCTCAGGTCTTCTTGGTGAACTGTCTTCTAAGGGGAGAAGGCCCAGTTGAAGAGTGCCTGTTTATGGTTTGGACTGTATGTGTGTGCCATACAAGACCGGGCCAAGTTGGATAACTGAGCACAGCAGAGGGAGGGAGGACATATGTGGTTTTCCAAGGAAGAAAGCTCACGAAGGCCAAGGAAGAGAGGCAAAGTGGGAGAACAGATGTAACTGGAAAGAATTTCTGAGGCAGATGTGCCAACTAGTCCCTTACAGTTCATTTTGGTTTGAAGCAGAAGCAGCAGCTCACCTGGGAGCTTCTTAGATTCATGGAATCTCAGGCCCCACCCAGACCTACTGAATGAGTGTGCATTTTTTATAAAATCCCAGGGGGTTCATCCTGTGCACAGCAAAGTTTACAAATTACTGCTACAAGTCTTTTCTTCCAACTTTTAGCTAGGATCGTTCAGGTACAAGGATAAAAATCCAACTCAAACTAGTTTGAGCATAAAGGGAATGGTATTTTTTCATTTCATATAACCAAACCACAGAAAGGGCAGGGTGCTGCTGACCTCTGTGCAGGGCCTACATGCTATCAGAACTCAGATTTTTTTTTTTTAAATCTGTGTGTGTTTGTGTATATGTTACTAAAAGGGAAGGGAAAAGAGTTTTAAGAAAGTAAAACAATAATCACTACCTCTACCTCTTTCCAATACTTTAGTGACAGCTACTAACCTTCAACTCAGGGGCTGAATGTAGCACAGGGCTCAGACAGTTTTAGTCTGCTCAAATGAGAGAACAGTTTCTCTCTGGGTAATAATAGTAGTACTAATTATTAAATAACAAAACAGGCACTATTATATATATATATATATATATATATATATCTGGGGAAAAAAACATGCCTAAAGTCCTTACAGAGCACTGGACCCTAGAACATCCCTCTGGTCTAACTGGAAAGCTTCAGTTGCTCAAAAACATTTATTGAGTACCAACTAATTGTCAGGCTCTGTGCTAAGGGCTTTATTTACAGAGATTAATAAGATGTGTCTTACCCTTAAGGAACTCTCAAACAGGTGGTGTGTGGTAATGATTCAAACAGCCATTAAGTTCATTGGACTGTGCGTTGTATAATGTTTCCTATTAAAAAATATTCAGGCAAGAAATGGCGGCACAGGCCTGTCATCTCAGTGACACAAGAGACTGAGGCAAGAGGATCACAAGTTTGGGTATAGCCTTGGCCACTTAGTGGGACCTTGTCTCAAAATAAAAGTTAAAAAGGGCTGGGATGTAGCTTAGTGGTAAAGTTCCCCTGAGTTCAATCCTCAGGACCCCACTTCCAAATACTCAGCAGTATTATACTCAAGTTTAAAGACTGAATAAAATATCATGTTTAGCAAGTGCACCAGAGTAAATGTTATGTGTTTAAAACAGCTCAATATTTATGCATATTTATTTGGGGGAACTCATTTTTCACTCTAAAGTCTTACTAAGTGGGAGAGTAGGAAAAGACATGTTATCATGACTTTCATATGCTATCATTTCACACAAGGGAAATTCAAACTAGTGCATTTACTTACAAACAATTTACTTACAAAAATGACTGCCAAAGACATGAAAAGGACATAAGTTGAAATCACTTTTGTCCAGAGGCATAATGGCCAGAAAAAATGACAATCTACAAATAGAGAATACATATGATATAATGCATTGCACAAAATAGGACCCATGTTAAGCCGTCACAGGACTATTTAAACTTATGGGTTCCTAGGCATATATATCCTTTGATCACAGACCCAAACCACACATCTACTCTATAATTGGAAGCTTAGTTTTACTTGGCTTTTAAATCAGGAAGAATAAGCAATAGTTTAAAGTTTATATTTCCCAAAATTATATACATAAAATAGTATTTATAAGTTAACAGAATTTTAATGCCAGACCTTAACTTCATAAAACCAGATTGCAAAATATTATTGCAAGGATAATAAAAAATGACTTGGTATCTTGATTTTCTTTCCAACAGATATGCGCACACAAATAGGTAATGCTGAGAAACTGTTTCTCGAGAAACTCAGTGAAAAGGAATATTGGGAAGAGTACAAGAATGTAGGGAGTGAACAACATGCTAAACTCATTACATCCTTGCAAAATGACATCAATACAGTTAAAGAGAATGCAGAGAAAATGTCAGGTCAGTTCCAACAAAGCTAGATCAAATTCATTAAAAGATCTTTAGGAGATATATATTTGGTGGAAGAAAAAAAAATGGATACTTCTACATGAATCTCTGCTATGAGCACAACCAGCTGTATGTCCCCTGCATCAAGGGAATGCAAGTGAAATATCTCATGGAATGGAGAAGGTGGGCCTCTGAGGCATCCATAAAAACATTCCCATGAAAGAGGGAGTCAGCCTCTATCCAGCTAGGACCAGGAAATGAACATGAGTTTTGAGAAGGTATCAGTCAAGTGAGACCTCTCTTTCCCTTCACCATGCTCCCCTCTTTGCTTCAGCCCTGAAATAGGAGGCTTGGGAGCTCAAGGCAGAGGAAACACAGCAGTCCCAAGCTAGGAAAGAGGAATAGCCATCATTTTGAATGAACCTGAATGTTTTGTTTACTACAGTACACTGGACATATTAAGTACTTATTAGAGGACCTTTTATTACCACAAAGGAACCAAAAATTTCATAGAAATTGCCATACATTTTATCAAGAGGAAGTCACTAGCCTCATACAGTGAATTTTAAAGGAAGAAAGGAAATAAAATTGCTTGACTTCCCATGGGTCATGCTTATTGAATGTGACACTTTCAGTGAGGAATGGGAGGACAGTCCTCCCATTGATGGAATATAGAATCAGAAGGCCATTGGTTCAGTGGTGGCTTAACAGATGGTTCCTCCTTATCTTTGAAGATTTGTGATTTATTCTCTTGAGGCACTCCTGATTTGCTCTGTGGGCTTGTCCATATTTTCTTCTTGCTTCCCATGGACTAATTCTTGCAGTGTTCTCCAGCCCAGCTTCTGAAGAGAAGCCAGGTGTCTTCATTTACCTAACTAAAAAACAACCAAAGACCTTTGTCCATGACTCCTCATGGATTGCTAGTCAGCCCCAAAACAAACTCTTTGGTCAACTGTCCCAACTTGCTTTATTTAGTAGCCATCAGTGATCCCTGATGGGGGTAGGGGTGGGAAAAAGTACTCAGGACTACTTTTATGAGATTTAGCCAGAAGTAGGAGTTGGGAGATTGGGTATAGAAAACAGGCACTGGTATATCCTGTGATATATACGTCAAAACTAGTTTTTTCCCCAAAAGAAAAAAGAAACTTAGCCCTGATAAGTAATTAGTCACACAGTATTTTGTACTTTACTAGGGGCACAGGACAGGGATCCTTAAAACTTTTTTGTATACTAAGAGTGAGTTAAAAGACTTGGGTTCAATACGCAAGACCCTGGGTTCAATACCCAGCACCAAAAAAAAAAAAAAAAAAAAAAAAAAAAAAAACAAAAACAAACAAAAAGACTTGGGTTCAAGTTCATTTATAAATAAATAAATATTACATCCTTGGGTCTTAATTTCCTTCTCTATAAAATGAGAGTCCCCAGGTGTTCTCCAAGATGATTCACTGTTCCAACTTTGCTTTTCCATGTAATCCTTTTAAGTTCCTCACATATTAATTGGGCCCACTTTAAAGATGTGAAAAAAAAGGCTGAGAGAAGTTAATTGACTTAACCAAATTCACATACTTAGTAAGTAGTGGAAAAGGATCTTTGAACCCAGGTGCATCAGGCACTATACTCACATCCTTCAAATAGGCCTCCTAGCTCTGTGATCCAGTGAGGCAGGGATGGCTCTCTAATACCAACTGTGCCTGCAGAGATGACTGCTTCTGCTCAGTTTCTCCAGAGGAAACTGAAAGGAGGCCCACCCAGGAGAGGATCAGCTCAATGAAGTTGTGTCATGCCCAGAAGTGAGTGACAGAGCACAAAACTCTCAGCAGGCATGGAGGAGTAAACCAAAGCAGAGCCAAATACCACAGGGAAGTCAGAACAATGCAGAACAAGCTTTAACCAGTGTGATTTGTGGGCTTGTCCCTATTTTCTTCTTGCTTCCCATGGACCAAGGTCCAGGTTTCATGGTTTCTTTCAGATGTTAAGATTGTAAAATCCATTACACCTAAACTCCTGTTCCATTGCAACTTTTAGGTTGATTGTTGTTTTGTTACACCTAAGTTTCAAACTCAGCCTCTGAATAGTAGCCACATTAGACTGAGCATCTGAGCAGCCAGGAGTCTCACAGCACAAAGTCATAATCTTCCAAGCTCCCAGTTGCAGTGTCGCAAACTTTTATGAAAAGGAGACTTCTGCATACTCTTACTCTCTTTGGCTATCTTCACAAATGAGTGGTTAGTAATTGTCTCTCAGCTACAGAAAGCATCATCCAAATCACAAAAGATAATAGATTTTCACAATTTGTGCTGGTTATATTGTTTTTAAGAAGAAAAACAGTCCATAGAATGTTAACTGGGGTTTGGAACAGTTATCAAATGTTAATACTGTTTCTTCAGTATTAATGTGGCAATAGAGCTATAGCTCTGGGTAGTCTAATTTTTTTATAATTTACAGCAAAAAGTTCATTTTTTTCATTTTTTTTTAGTTGTAGTTGGACACAGTACCTTTATTTTATTTATTTTTATGTGGTGCTGAGGATCGAACCCAGCACATTGCACAACCCCACTGAGCCACAACCCTAGCCCCAAAACAGTTCATATTTAATGTTATAAAGGTCCAGGTTTTATGGTTTCTTTCAGATGTTAAGATTTTAAAATCCATTACAGCTAAACTCCTGTTCCATTGCAATTTTTAGGTTGATTGTTGTTTTGTTGGACCTACGATTCAAATAAATAAATAATATTAACCTGATGAGCTTGGGCTTAAATAAAAAAAAAAAGAAATTCCAGGGCTGGGGTGGTGGCTTAGTGGTGGAACTCTTGCCTCACACATGTGAGGCCCTGGGTTCAATCCTTAGCACCACATTAAATAAATAAATAAATAAACAAACAAATAAATAAATAAATGTATTCTGTCGATCTACAACCAAAAAAGTTATTTAAAAAAGAAATTCCATTGGAAATGAAGTTGAAAGGAATAAATAATCAAGCAATTACTTCAAATTAGAGTAAGAAAAAATGCAGGTAGATGAGCATGTGTAGGAAAAATAAAGATGTCTATTTCTTATTTTCCAGATGACAAGTTAGATTAGTTCTCCAAATCTCATGAACTCTTGTTTTGAACCATGCCTCAGTCAGACACTCTATCCAACTCTTGAGGCCCTCTCTGGACCCATTTTTCTGGCCACTCTACAACTTAGGCAAGCTGTCTTCTCTCTTTGCTTCCCCTTCCTCTCCACCAGTTGCCCCTGAGGAGCATCATTTGCTACCCTGGTGCTGAAATCATAGATCACTGCCCATCCAAGATTTGCAGTTAGCCAAATTTAATTTTCTTCAAAATGTTTTTCAATATCTATAATGTCCAGGAATTCAGTAATAGAAAGAGATGAAAGTTTTTACTTCCTGCTAATAGGGGGAACTGAGTAATTTTTGCCTAGCTCCCTAGTTTCCTAGAAGCCACCTTAATTTAGTTCCTGATCTGTTTGAAGACTGGACCTCCAGATCTGCTTCCCTATGGCATAAGATCCCAAGCATTCAGCTTTGGCAGCCTTGATCTGTGAAGAAAAATTTGCATTGAAACAACATCCTAAATGGCAGTTACGTTCTACAGCACTCTTGGTACAATATTTATGTTTAGTTATAGAATAAGTTAAATAGACCTCTGTGGGCCTTTCCAGAAATCTAGCAAACACAGTTGTCAGCATAATTTATATGGAAAACACATCTAAGTAATTATCTTGGATATGTTATAAATGAAGATAGGGGACATATAACTTTGATGTTATAAAAAACACAATTTTGATTACTGTTATGTTAACTTATCTGGAGTAGTACAGTTCCCTTGTATTTCACATTGCTGACTGTATCACTTTATTGAAGAATCTGCTCATATGTTAACTCCTCAATAAAGCTTTCTCTGATCATTCTACCTGAAAGAGATTTTTAGTTTCTCTTCATCACACACATCACCACCTAAAATATTATTTGTTTTTTATTTTATGGTGTGCCTTTCCCATGAGAATGTACATGCCATAAGGACAGGGATTTTGTTTGTAGTCATCAGCAATATTCCCAATGCCTTCAATAGTGTCTGGCATACAGAAGAACTTGATAATTGTTGAAAAAAGCAAACAAATTCAACTCCTTTTATCCAGCATTATTTCTCTCCACACTCTAAAAGCAGTCTTAATATCACAGTACCTTAATTTTCTTTAAAAATATGTTTGTTTTTTTTTAATTAAAGGATCTCTAAGCATCTTTTAAGGTCTAAACTTTTATGATTCTTTGTTTTCTCAATAATAACATTTAAGACCATAAGAAAATACATAGATGGAGAACCCTGCACTTGTCTCTGTCCTTTCTTCTGGTAAGCCCAACATAGAATCAGGTCTATTGCCTCTCATGCCCCTTCTGCTCAGAATGCTTCTCATTCTGTTTTTTCCTGCCCCAGGAAATGCATGCCAGGAATATTGAAAATTTAGTTAGGTAGATTTTTTTGGTAAAAATGTACTAAGAAGCCAGGTGTTATGATGCATGCCTATAATCAATCCCGCTATTTGGGAAACCGAGATGAAAGATCAATCACAGCAAGACCCTGCCTCAAAAAATATTTTTCTCTGAGCATTTAGGAGAAAAAAAATGTGTAGAAAGGAGAGATGAGGATTATGGAAGGTGACATTTACTAACATATAGATTTACCCAGGAGCAGTCTTGTTAAGGCTTATAATTTTCTGTTTAAAGAACAGTATAAAATTACTCTGGAAGATACTAGAAAGAAAATAATCAGAGAAACTTTGGTGCTACTGGACCAAAAGAAGGAATGGGCTGCGCAGGTATGTTTCAATTTTCTTAAAACAAAACTTTCCCCTTAATTTTTCTTATATTATAGTGGTTAATAACTTGTGTTCTAAAGTTAGGCAGTTTGAGTTTAAATAACAATTCTACCACTTACTGGATTTATAACTAAGTTTATTAATTTTTATGGGCTTCTGTTTCCTAATTAATAAAATAGGGAAAATAATAATATTTATCTCAAAGAGATAATGTGAGGAATGAATGAAATGATTTAAGTACCCTAATGTCTCACAAGAAGCAAATAAATTACTTTTTTGGCTATTTTTAAAGTATAATAATAATAATGACTACAACAAAACATTAAATCCTTTGGATGAAGAATAGAATGAAATATTATTTGTCTGAAAGGTAGTTATTACATACCCAACCCTAGGAGAGTACCCTCTGTACTGCTGGCACTTTAAGTTCGGGATATAAAACATTTTCTGAGACATAATTTCCAATCATGTATGTTCTTTGTTTACACTAAATATCTAAGTTTTTATTTTTCCATAGTCCTTCTACAAACTATCTCCTAAATCAGTAAAGGAGTGTCCAGCACAGATCTTGGACATCCTTTCTTCAGAATCACAAACATTTGGTCTTTTTAATTTCAGTTGCTATTGTTTGTTTCATCTTCATTGGTTCAGTTGTTTCTGCCATGGTACTCTCTATTGCATGACTTTTACTAACTTATACAAATATAGAAGATTATGGAGAACTGATCAAGAGTTTGTCTGCCCATGCAATTGGGTCACTTTGTGACTGAATCTTAGTAAATAGTGAAATTGACCATTAAGTTATCTGACTATAGTTAAGATGATTGAAAATACATATGTAGATCAAACAAGCATACAGCTTCAAGCATGTATCCTAAGAACTGTTCTAAATACTTCTCTAAGCATTTTACATTTAAGTCTCTCAGCAACCCTACAAGGCCTAGGAAGCTGATGAGGAGGAGATTGAGGCACAGAGAAATAACATGACTTGCCCAGAGCAAGTAGGAAAACTCACAAACAATTCAGGAGATTTTTTTCAGATAGATCATTGGTGATCACACTATACATTTTCTCTTTTCTACATACTGCTAAATACTCAACATGGTTGAATTACATTTTCATTTTAACTGGCTATGTTACCATACAGTTCACCTTTCTGTTCACCTTTGCAACTTAGCTACACATTGATGTGTCACATGAGGAACTTTTTTAACCTAACCTGGTACCCGTGTCCCACTCACAGAGATGCTAATGTTATTGCCCTGGGATGTTACCAGGGTTCACAGATTTTTCAAAATGTACAGCAGATTATAATATATTGCCAAAGTGGAAACCACTGCCTCATTGTTAGTGAATTAAGCTGTTAGTCATCTGACCTCAAGAGCTGCTTCCTGCTTTTGTTTAAATGAAATTTTACATTGGAGGAAATTAGAAATATAATAGGAATATAAAGGTTCCTGGTTCCTAGGGCATATTTAATAAGCATGATTTAATGATTTTTAATTGAAAATATTTCATCTCTAAAGACAGCAGAAAAACTTACCCTTCACATACCTTTAAACTATTTCTATCCATATTTATGATCTAGACTACCTTTCTCTTTTCTTTTTTGTAGAATATTTTTATTGATTTCTCATCTTATCCCAGTGAGAGTTGGGAGGTTGAAATAGGAGAATCATAAGCGTGGGGCCAGCCTAAGCAACTTAGTGAGACTCTCTTAAAGAAAACGTGGTGAGGATGGGAACTGGCGATGTGGCTCAGTGGCAAATCACCTCTGGGTTCAATCCCCAGTACAAAAAAAAAAAAAAAAAAAAAAAAAAAAACACCTCTTTTTTTGATTCTGCCCTTCAGTTACTGAATATTGAATTTATATCATGATCTTCATTTAAAATCATCTTACAAAGAAATACAGTGTCATCCATTATAAAATTTTTGCAGGTGAAATTTAAAATCCAAGTATTTGAAAAAAAATTGCATTTTATGAATGTACTGATGAAGTAAGACTTTTCCTGTTTCTTTACACAAAATCTTTCTGAGGAGACAAGCTAATAGCCAGTATCCCTAAAACTAAGTGTTGTTAGGTTTATAAATGTGTACATTGTTACTACTCATGTAGAAATTGTTCTAATTAAAAATATAGAAGTGTCATTTACTTATGCTTTTGCTGTATGTTGGATTATATCTGACTATGGAGTGTTTGATCACTGCAAGTTAGCTATCTCAATTGTGGAGCATGAATGGACAGCCACACAGTGTCCATTTCTCCAAATCACCTGTAGCAGACAATGTAAATCAACAAAAACAAAAATACAATAGGATAAGAACAAATAACTGAACCAAAAGTTCTCACATGTTCCTAAAAATCCTTACAAAATATAATTTAAAATGAATGATCAGTTAGACTGACTGTGTGACACCATTGGGTAAAACTCTGAATCATCACATGGCAACTCTTGGTTAACATAAACTTTCTTTTAGAATGCTGTAAAGTTAATTGATAAAAACAGTTATCGAGAGATCTGGGAGAATGACTGGCTGAAAAAAGAGGTGAGTAGAATACATCAAAACAGTTTTTTCTTTCTTTCCTTTTTTTTTTTTAATTGAACTGGAGATGACATTTAATTGTAAAATGAGTCATGGGGAAAGCATGGAATTTGAGACCAAGTGAAATTCTAATCTTTTTATTAAGTTGCTATTCAACAAATACCATAGTCTCAGTAATAACCAGAAGTAATTTGGGGGCTACAATTCACACAATATACTCAAATCTCTATAGTTTCTTCATGTCTCCTCCAGGGTGCATTCTGACTTCTGATTTAAATCACCTTTTTTGGATGATGTGGTTTCCTTTAGACAAGTGTTCAGTTTTTTAGATTTTCTTTCTTCCTCTGATCTTCTCCAAGAAGATCCCTGGATGTATGGGAAAGAAGGCCATACATGACCTTTTGTGGGTATACTGCTGAAGAAAATTCAGATCCATGGGATTTCCTTTGGATCCTTGCTCCCCCTGCCTGCCTGCCTGCTGGGAAGGAACTGCTCTGGTCCTCTGTCTGCACTGGTGACTTCTGAAGTGGACTGGGCTGGCTTTTGCACAAAACCTATAGCTCCGCCTTTTTTTGTTCAAGATGATCCTGTAGAATGCAGCATCTATACCTCACTCAACCTGAACTTTAGGCCTTTTCACATTTCTTAAGAACATATAGAAATTACTGAAATGAGGTATGCTGCCTTAGCCTCAGTTGTCCACCTGTCTCCCTATATCAGTGCTACATGCAGGACTGCTCTTTCTGGATGTGGTCATGTGATGATTGCTAGAGCAGAATCTCTCCATCTCCACACTGTTGACATTTCGAGATGGATAATTCTGGGTTTTGAGTTACTGTCCTGTTTTTCTTACATTGTTCATGCTGGTCCCTCTGCCCTTATCTCTATTACCTCCTTACTTTCATCTACCTGGAAAACACTAACTCTTCCTGAAGGGCAGGCATTTTTTTTAAGTTGTAGTTGGGCATCTTTTTTTTTATTGGTTGTTCAAAACATTACAAAGCTCTTGACATATGATATTTCATGCATTTGATTCAAGTGGGTTATGAACTCCCATTTTTACCCCAAATACAGATTGCAGAATCACATCGGTTACACATCCACATTTTTACATATTGCCATACTAGTGTCTGTTGTATTCTGCTGCCTTTCCTATCC